AGATGCATCTAAAACTGTGTGCATGTACTCTCCTCAATTTGAAGGCAGAGAAGAAGCCAGCAGGAGAAGATAAGCCCAAAAGACTACCAGGTACCTGTGGCTCAGGTCAATCTCAGAAGAACCTGTTTCCCCATGGCATGCCACCGGTCTGTGAGAGGCATAGTAAGAAGCCATCAGGTGAGAAGAATGCATGTGGAAACATCACTCTGTCTTTCCTGTCTCTGTTCTACAGTGCAGAGTGGTTATGTGCCATGGGCCCTGCACTAGCTCTGGGTGCACAGGGGTGACCAGTTTACATAACAATACTTGATACTTCAGAACAGGATTTTACAAGCTAGTTATGAGCTAGTTCCATACAACATGAGGTAAGTCTTCTCAAAATTGAACCCCATAACCTAGATTTATACAGTGGGATTGAAGAATCAGAGCTCCTAAATTCCTTCAAATTATAAAATATATCTCTAACGTCTCAGCATGTGAACATTACACCACCACCAGACAACCTAGTGATATTTCTGACTCTACCCAGTGCTTGACATGACATACCCACTGAACAAAGTAGAGCATATGGGGAGATGCTCTCGTGAAGGAAGAGTTGTGGAATCTACTTGTGACAGTTGCTGAGATCACAAGATGAAGCAAGAACTGGCTCTTATTCTGATCTGGTTTCTGTCCAATCTCTCAGTCTCTCTGAGTGAGAAGATGTGCAAATCAGAACATGTACAAGGCCCAAAGATACACTTGAGGGACCAGGTGTCTGTCATCCTGACAAAACCTGGTAGAAAATCTCTTAGCTGACCCAGTGCTCATGGGACAAATCTTCCCCACATCAGGATCCAGGAAGAAGTATGATGGTATTAAGGACCGTGGGTTGCCAGAAAGCAAGCAACTCCATACCCGTGATGAGATCAATGAACCTGAAGAAGAAAATGATTAATCATGTAAGTCTCCGACTGACACACCCCTCTCACCACAAAGTATACATCCTAAAAATTTGTCTTTCTCACCTGAGACTGGGATCTCATCTCGTTCTTTGTTTCACTACATCATTTGCCTGTTCTAATCATATGAGGTTCAACATGAACCCTAGAGAAATCTCATATACATTTGCTAACTTGTTCTAATTTGGGGCAACCACATCTACCCATAGTACTTGGGCTTTTCAAACTCCAGGTTACATATCAATGTGTAGGCCATATGGTTCTCTCTTTCTATGCCAGGGGTGATAGTCACTGTTCCCAAGAACAGGATTCACTTGTGGATGGAAGTGCTTTGAACTTGGATAGCAGGGGAGTGTGCCCAATTTACAGGGCAGGGGGAATTGGTGATGACAGAGCAGTGGGGACTGAATGACACCTGTGTTTTCTTCTCTTTCTGTCAACCCCAGATTGTTGAATGAACCCCCTGATGTGAAGAAGATGGAGGGCATTGGGGATCATGGGCACATGTCTTGTAACCTAAGCAACAACAATCACAGGTGTAACTCAAATGAAAAGACCATTTTCAACCCTGAAGTGTCCAGCAGAAGTGTTTCTTTTGTATGACACACTCATTGTGAAACCTGTCTCTTACAGTGTACAAAATGTGTTAGCATTGTTCACACCCTGTTGCAAGCACTCTGACCACATTTTATCTTATCCTGTGCCACTTGGCAGGCATTGTTCTCACTATTTGTGGAGCACTCCACAAGCATTGCTGTTAGTGAGTCACCACCACTATGTTAGAGCTTTTCATGCTCTGTGTCAAACCCTGTGTTTCCAGGGTAATATGTAGTTCATTGACTTAGTTATGTTGTGTACCTGATCCACTATGAGAATTGCCCTTGCCCATACTAGTACACTGTCAATATTGCACTTACACATTGACAAGGTCTCAGATAGTACTTTAATTGTGTGAAAACTGCACTGGATGTCAGTATTCCAATGAGCATGCAATCACCTAATGCATGTCTTTATAGTATTCTTTTCATAAGTAATGTGTCTTGAGCAAAGTATACCTGGATGTACAAGTACCCAGGAAAAGCTGGGGGCAATGGGAGTACTGAACGGAGAGGGAACTGAGATTGGAATGTAAAATAAGATTGTTTTTAATTTAAATAAAATTAATTGAAAATGCAAGAAAAGTTTTTGCTTAAATGAACTTAAAATGTAAAATTGAAAAGTTAGGTTCATGATGGATATTTGTGTAGCAATATTGCTAATCCTACAGGACATAGAGGAAATTTTCAAATATTCAAAGTATAATCAAGAAACATACAGAACAAAGTAAGATCACACACTCAAAGAAGGGCAGTCAGAAACAGAATATGTGGTGGCCACCATATACTCATACTTTCAACAGAGCATGACTAATTTCTTTCTTAACGCCGTTGTGCAACAAAACTTACAGGAACACAATAAAGCACAGACCCCTCTAGACACACAAAACAGAAATGTGGCTTATTATCTTTTTTGAACAACAGCTTCAAGCATCTTGAACATATCTGTCCTTGGGCAAGGGGCTTATACACTAGAGATATTTAAGTTTTATGGATGTCTTAGGCACAAAGATTAAAACTTAAAACATAACTTTGGCTCTCACATTACTTTTGCCTTGGCCACTAAAATGGTGCTTATATTGTCAATGTCAAGATGACTTTCATGGTTTCTTTGTTTGTTGATGTGGGGATTTGGAAACATATCTCTTATATTTTGGTTGTGAGCCTAGCCTTTAACGGCTTAGCCATCTCTCCAGCCCTGGAAACATATCTCAGATGGAAGCTAGACATTAGATAACTCTACAAAAAGACAAAGCAGTCATGCTTCAGGGCCTGTAGGTCCTACTATCTCCCACCTCTCCTAAATCAGTTCTGGAGACAGTCAGTGGTTCAGGAGATAGCTTTCTTCAAATCTGTTTTTGGGAAATAGGATAAAGACAATTATCCTTACAGAAAGACAGTCTTCCTTTTTAGAATGGGAGGGTGATCTTAAGGACTTTAGGAGGCAGTATGTGAAAAATTGTCATGTATAAAAACACTGGTAGAACTTCCTTGAAGGGGAGAGACTTGTTTGTGGCATCTAATATTTTTCAGTCCTTGGAAATTATTACCTCCCATCATTCTACAAACACAGTAATAAGTAAATAAGAAACCTCCATGAAGTTAGCATACTGAATAAGGAAATATTAATTTGCAAGTGAATGATGGTGGTAGATAATCTAATAAATAAGCAAAGTTGGCAGAGCTTTGTGTACTTTGCATATCAATGCTTAGCTGAGGAAAGCTTCTTGCTTCCAGGTAAGATATATATCCACATGAACTTGGTTTTGTTTTTGTTTGTTTCTTGTCTTCATAATTTTGTCTGCTCTGCTACAATCAAAAGTATAAAAATTCCCAGTGTCAGTAAAGGAATTGGGGTTTGTCAGTATCAAATTTCCAGTAACAATTACTTTTGAAGATATGTTTTTTTACTTAGAACTGTAGAGGCAGACACTCTCAACAGCAAAGCAACTAAATGTAAGAAGGAAGCAATATTAAGAAAGATTATCTTTAGGACAAATTGTTATTTCATATGTCCACCTAGAACCAGGGAAAACTCAGATTTCATTCTCAGGCTGCCTAGAGATGGCAGGCATTAAAGCTATCAAACTTGAGAATAATA